TAATAATATTAATAATAATAATAATAATAATAATAAATAGCGGCATGCACCAGGGCAGCTAATGCGTCATGCGTTTTGCACAGTTCTGTCCAGCGGGCAACTGCTGTTAGGATCATTCACTGCTTTACAATCTGATATGCGCAGAAATACGAAACTCATGCATGAACGTAACAATTCATGAGAGCTGGATTTGAATTTAAAGATTTTCACCTGAACAGAAAACATCCCGCAACAATTTTAGCTTTCTAGCTCCCGAACTAAAATTCCGCTCATAAAATTTCACATGTGCCTGAAAGCTGAATTTGACATTAAATGATTATACATCTAGAGGAAGCGTCATAATAAACTTTCGGCTTCCCTTCTTTCCGATTCCTGAGGCAGAAGATTTCGCGCCAATTCTCCACACACATGATATTTGGGCGTTAGTGGAGGCTGAATTTAAATTCTTGAGAGTGCGCATGGGTTTAGAATATTATCATAAAATTACAGCTTTTTGGTTTTCATGATTTCCGAGTTAGTAATTTTGACACCAAAATTTTCGCATGGCTAAACATAAGACTACGTGGAGGCTGAATTTTAAATTTGAGGGGTCACTTGTGGGCGGGAAACATTTCCCAAAAATTTCAATACCCAGTTTTTGTGGTTTTCAAGTCGAAAGCTCCGAACAAAACGCATTTAGACGCATACACATACATACACATGAACACACACATATATTTAAACACACAGACCGAGTCCTGACAGCATGTGTTTTGTGGAGCTGTTACGCAGCATAAACGCATAAAAATGGATTGAAGATTTTCATTCATTACTCATGTGAATTTCCGCAATTTTTTGGAAAGCAAATGAAGTTAGAACAAATGAAGTGCACAGATTACTTTGGTAAGCAAGGTTTTCCTGAGGTACCATCACGTTGTATTCACTGTTTTGTAGGCTCATTCTTCGTATGAACTGTGAACAGAGTAGTGATTTGCGGAATTTCCTCATCCTCTGAATCGTAGTGCTTTATTTTTAAAGCATGGATTACTATCGGCACGCTCCCAAAATGGTAGTTACACATAAGCTGGATGCGAGGTTCAGTGAACTCTCTGTGCTATACAATGAAGGCGCTTTTGACGATCTTATCGGCTTTTTCGGTGGCGAGTCTGGCTTGAAACAGGTATATAAACTTTTCCGTATTTCAGCTATATAATTTTTATTTGATAATTACATGCTCTATGAGTACCAGGATCATCCGGGCAGCTGGTGTAGCCTTCCCACATTAGTGATATTACCATCCATGGAAATGTGATAAATCACATGTAAGAGTGGAAGGGGTCTTATGTGCGTTCCGAAACCGGCTCCCAATAGAGTGAGGTAACTCATACTGTCGTTTTTTGAGCAAAAATTAAATAAATAGCAACGCGCACCAGACCAACCGGTGCGATCATGCGTTTTGTGCAATTCAGCCCATCGAATGATTGCCTATTAATGAGTTTTACTGCTTTGTACTTTAGTCTATGCAAAAATAGTTCAAACATTGGAAAATAGTTAAAAATTTCATGCACCAGCACATGAAAGCTGAATTCGAAACTTTGAAGGGTGAATATCTTTCCGTGATCCCCGAACTAATAGTTTACCCGCCAAAATTTCCACGAGGCGGTGGGTGATACTCAAGAGCGCGGGAATGTTGAATTTAAATAGGCAAGGTTGAGCGTGGGCGGGGGTCATTATCCTAAAATTTCAGCTTTCTAGACCCCGTGGTTCCCGAGATAATAATTTAGCCATAAAATTTCACGGGGCCGTACATTTTACCCGCGGGTACAGGAAGGCTGAATTTAAATTTGCCGCGTCACCCGCTGGCAGGGAACACTACACCAAAATTTCAGCCGTCTAGCTTTTGTGGTTCCCGAGTTGAAAGTGCGGGACAAAATGTGGGACA